AAGTCGATACAGACACGGTAGGTTTTGTCCTGCTTCTTAACAAGCACCAATGGCGAGCAGTATGGAGATGTTGACTTTTCTATTACGCCCAGCTTCAGCATCTCGCCTACCTCCTCTTCGATCACGCGCTCCATCGCGAAAGGAATCGGGTACTGTGGTGTATGCACCGGTTCCTGCGCGGTCAGCTGCAGCTTACATTCCAAGATATCTGTTTGGCCCGGCACATCCGTAAATATTTTTGAATATTTCGCTAGGATGTCCATAACGTCGCTCCTTTGCTTCTGGCTAAGATCGTCGGCTAGCGCGACTTCACTTACTCCCTGCTTACTTCTCAGGTCAAGACACGGAAGCTGCTGATCAGCCGACGTATCCTCTACAGCTAAAATTGAGGACACTTGCTCCTTTGTCTGACTTGTCGTCTCACGTTCCTCGTACCGCTTTAGCATATTTATGTGGAATGTTCTAGTGGTATGCCCAAGGTCTACCTCGTAGTCAACCTCGTTCCTTTTACCCACGACGATGAAAGGGCCTTTCCAATGCATTAGAAGCTTGTTCTTTTTCGTCGGGATCAGGAGTAGGGCGCGATCTCCTACCTTCAGAGCCCTCCTTGCAGTCCTTCTGTCATACAACTTCTTCTGGTCCTTTCTTGCCGAGGATAAGCTTTGGTGGGCAAGCTCTAGCGTTCGCTCAAGTCGACTGCGCAGGTCAAACACGTAGTGGTAAGTCGTCTTAAGATTAGTTCCCAACTCGTCTCTCGTCCAAATCTCCTTCAGCAGGGTCAACGGTCCCCGAACATGACGTCCGTAGATTAAATCAAACGGAGAAAACCCCAGACTGGCCTGCGGCACTTCACGGTATGCGAATAGGAGTGGCGCTAAGTATCGATCCCAAGATCGTGGCTTCTCCTGGCACATCTTGGAGAGCATTTGTCGCAGGGTGCCATTATATCTTTCTACTAATCCGTTGCACATAGGATGATAAGGTGTAGTATGCAATTTCTGGATAGACAATAACTGTGTCAGCTCCTGCATCAGTCCAGATGTGAAGGTAGCACCTCGATCAGACAAGATCTGCCTCGGCAGCCCTACTCGAGAAAAAATCTCTAATAATCCTTCTGCGACAGTGCGAGAATCGCACGATGGTAGCGCTACGGCATCAGGGTACCTAGTGGCGAAATCTACCATCGTCAGGATGTAGCGATTTCCATTTTCTGAGGTAGATGAGAGGGGACCTATAAGGTCTATGGCCACCCTCTCGAAAGGGGTGTCAATAATGGGCATTCGGCCCAGTGGCGCTTTCTTTAGTCTTCCTTTCGGTGCAGCCCTTTGGCACGCATCACATGACTTCACAAATCTCTTAACATCGGCCTGTATTCCTGGCCAGTAAAACGCTTCTAACACTCGGTCAGTAGTTCGTTTTATGCCCTGATGTCCGGCCAACGCACTGTCGTGTGCTATCTCGAGGACGTAGGTTCGCAGTGTCTTTGGTACCACCACTTGTTTGAAACTCTTTCCACCCTTCTGTTCATAGCGACGGCATAAAACTCCCTTAGAGAAATAAAAGCTGATTTTAGAACCGTCCTTCGTGCTTTGCACTTGCCCAACTTTGGTTCGGCACGCCTCCAAGGTGTCATCTTCTTTCTGCCGCCTTTTGAGTTCTGTAGAGTCGATGTCAATTCTAGTTTCTTTGCTAGTAGTTGGAGTCGCCTTCGTTGCTTTCACTCTATTCGCCGCTGCTATTTCACCAGCGTGCGGAACCGCATCTTCCCTCTCTTTTGAAGATCCTTTTCCTCCTCCGGGCGTTTGGTTCCTCTCGGTGTCCCATTCGTAGCTTGGTTTGTCAGCCCCTCGTGCTCCCTCAACATTTCCGATAATTACGTCGTAAAGGGGGGCTTCCATGCATTTTACGAGCAAGTCTCCCGTAAAATATGGGGAGCGTAGGCTTATCTTGGCTTCCGGCAAGCTTAAAATCGTTCCATCCACAAGGCACACCACCCCCATTTTTCCAGTGAGCTGGGAATCTGGTATCAAGCTGCGTCGGGTAATAACCGTGTTGCTACCGGTGTCACGTAGCACGCTAACCACTTGTCCGTTCAATCGGCCGCTCAAAACAGGCATATTTTCCACCTCCCTAGTCGCCCGGGTTTCTTGCACGACGTTCACCATCTCTCCTTCGTAGCCGTTCTGCTCGGCGTTTAAGTCCTCTACTAAGTTATATGGCATCGCCTTCTGCAAAGGAGGGGGTTCTACAAAGCACATGACGCTCGGCTTATCTTGCCGTTTTCGAGGACAGCTTTTTGTTTCATGTCCCTCTCGTTGGCATGTTGTACAAAACGGAATTTTATGCCTGAATCCACTTCGACACTGTGGAGCCTTATGACCTACGCGCCCACACAAAAAACACTTTGGCCTCATAGGCGGTGGCTGATCTCCGTGATTTCTACTTGGTGAAAATGCGCTCGTCTTCGTGTCGTCCTCAAGAAAGGAAAGGCTTCTCAATTTCTGCGCTTCAAGAAAGCGATCCGCAGTCTCCACCATCGACGCAAGCGTCTGACAATTCCTTTCCTTCAGGAAGGTGGCTACCCTCGCGTGACATTGCGAAATAAATTGCTCTTCCAGCACCCTATCCCGAAGGGCTTCATAGGTAGCAGGAGTCTCGCCGACCTCCATCCACCGGTCGAAATACCCCTGCAGCCGAGCTGCGTACTGTCTAGCTGTCTCTCCCTCCTCGGGCTTAGATTTTCGGAACTTTTCCCGGTAACCCTCCGTTGTGAATCTAAACCTCTCGAGAAGCGCTTTCTTAGTCGCTTCATAGTTCATAGAATCCTGGGGCGATAGTCTCCCATACACCTTGAGTGCTTCCCCAGTAAGACACATACTCAGTGCTGTTGCCCATTTAAGTAGTGGCCACTCCTCCCCGCGGGCAATGCACTCGAATCTTTTAAGGTACGCATCGAGATCGTCCCTCCGGTCATCAAATGGGGGAATCAGCTTGCGAGGGCAAAGACTATTCGAGCTAACTCTCTCGCCACCGTTTCCATTCGAATCGGTTACCGCGGTTGCAGACGCTCCGCTCTCGGCTAATCTTATGCGAAGCTGAAGTGTTCGTTCCTCAATCTCCGCCCTTTCTCTCAAGGCAACTCTTTCGACAGCTCTTTCCTCTCTCTCCAGGTCCTTTTCTTTTCGTTCTCGGGCTTGCTGTTCTTCAACCCATTTCCTCAGGCCCTCTCCCTGCAACCCCAGTTGTTTTCCGACGTCAAGCATCTCTCTGTAGTCCATTTTCTACTGACGTCTGACCAGTTCACGGAATACTTGTAAGACACAAGCTGCCCAAGTTCAATAGGTCTCGTCCTGTCGCGGACGCCAATATTTGTCACGAGGTACGCAAGGCTCGTTCAAATAATCATTTATGTAAAGAAAAAGAATACGAGACCCAATTGAATCCAGGCAATTTGTATTGAGAAGAAAATGAAAAAGGGTGTCTAATAAAAAAGGAACATGAAGATAAACCGAATCGAGGGATATGTACACAAGGCAATATTCACTTGAGTTCCGGTCTTTTCCGTTGGCGGAAGATGCTCAAGGGGTTGCGGATGTAGTTGCCGGGTTCTGGATCGTGGTTACCAAGTTCTCGATGATGGTAACGGGAGCCTGGATTCCGGACGCCGAAATTCCCAATGGCGATCGCTGGGCTAACCCGGACCTGGTCGGCACCACGCCGATGGATGCTTTGGCCACGGCGAAGGGATCTCGGGATCGGGTTTCTTGGTGTCCTCTCACCGACGGAGCTCCGGCAGCCTTCCTGTTGCCTTGCTTCAGCCCGCAACTCGCTGACTGGTTCTGGTTTGGGTCATGGCACCCAAGCGCCCAGGCCCGGCAGTTCGTCGCGATGGCTGCACTCCGACGACCGTTCGACGATCTCTCTCACTTCTTTTTCCTTTTTTCTCCCCCTCGCGCAGCTCTCAGCTTTTTCTTCTTCTTTCATGAATCGGCCATGACAGCTCATACGGGGGACCCCTTTGAGCCATACGGGCGACCCCTTTGACAAACTGGTGACCAGTATGGTTAAACGGTTACCGGGATGGGCCCGTTTATTTTCATATGGGCGCCAAATAGTTTTTTTCAGTAGGGTCTTCAACGCTGCTGTACTTGTTTTGGGTTATTTGCAAGATGGCTATATAGAAACTAGGGTTATAAAACTCTGGTCGTGGTAAAACGTCAGGCATAAACAGCTCTCATTCGGGAGTACCGACAAGGCGCTTGTACGTTTCTGCGAATGCACCTTCTCCGAAAATGCATTTGCAGATATAATTCTATCGCCTTCCTAGGAAATAGTTTGTCTGGACTTTTTCCGAAGAAATTGTGGGTACATATCTTCAGTCGATTTCAGAGGTCACATTATTTGCGGAGCGCCAGTATCCTTTCTTGCGCAAAGGTTGTGGTTACGTCAGAACACCGAGCTCTGGAGGGCTCAGATTGGAAGGGCGCTGGCTAGACTTCAAGGCAGCTAGCATTGAGGTCTAGCTACTATTCTTTCCTTCAGAGCTAGTAAGAGCTCGAAGTTCTGACGTCACCAAAACCCCTGCCAAGAAGAAGACACGGCGCCAGCCAACCACGGAGTTTTAGCAAATGATTTAAAGACCAACTTGCGCTCCCCCCTCATAGGTAAGGAACACATCCACATTCCCTGTACGCGTGTCTAAAATAGATACCATAAAAATTGGGGGAGAGCCAACCCCATTTTTACTGAAAACTGGGTTAATCTAGACATGGACGTTTGTCCGGTCAAATCGGGGGCTTAACGTAAAATTTCCAGAGTTCCCAAGTTTTTTTTAATGTTAATAGTGGGCACTGAAACGAAGTGGCGCTCTGGAGTATATTACGGTATGTATATTTATAGCTGTAGATATTCTCACAACCGCTGCTTTTTTAACGTGATCAACGTCGTCATAATATGTGATCTTTTCATGACCCTAATTTGGCACATTGTTTACTTCTCAGCTTCTACTTTGCCTCGTATGAATGCGCAGCAGGACCTGCTTGGCAGGTGAAGGCTAAGAGACCTAAATGTTATAGTAAAGTGAGTAAACAAAACATTTTAGGTTTCCAGACGGTGTTCTGATCAGTTTGTCGTGCTCAAACTACAGATTCTGAAAGTTGAAAAGAAAAAGTTATTTTAGTGCATGTTTATCACGTCAGAGGGACGCTCTCTCTTTCGAGTACTTGAATTCTATTGGGAGGCTGTTCATAAAAATGATGTTAAGGATTTCCTCATGGAAGTAATATTTAAAGAAAAACAATGCTGCCCAGATATATACACACACATATATATATATATATATATATATATATATATATATATATATATTTTTTTTTTCTTTTATGGCGTAATGTTCTATAATATCTCTGCATTATCGTAGTAAAATCAATGAGAAATACAAGTAAGATTGTTGTAACAAAATACACTCAGGTCTAATCGGTTGTACCGCGCTACGAGCATAATAAATTTATTCTAGCGATTTAAATTGCTGTCTTTGTGTTGAGCAATGGAACTTCAGCTCGCGGTACTTTAAAGCGAAATTTAGTGGGAAATTTTTTCTGGATAAGTAAGTCTGTAAACAGGGACATTTGCCCAGCAATTTCAAATTCTTATTGGGATAAGGGATTGCGGCGCCATTAGAAACTTTCATCGATATCACAGTGTATACAACAGCGTACAAAACGCTGAACTTTGTCATCTGAGAATGTGAGGCAGCGATGGTTAGAGTCTACTTGAGTGCCTCAAGGGCAGCGATTGTGTGCTTTGTTGATTTCTCATGATTACACTTAGCTTGGCAGAACAAGTTTTTGTTTTATTTATTTTCCTCACTTGAAGCCATTACATAGGGGGACAAAAAACATAATAAACTTAAATACAACGCGGTTGTGTTTATTTGTATGTTTTGGCGTGCCCCTACCGCCAAATATAATACGAAAGTGAGTTTGAACCTTTAGTGAACTAATCGTCTTGTTTAGATAGTTGGCGTTGAGGTATTAAGATATATCATAAACAATACAAGCAGAAATACCTGGAGAAAATTATTGCTTTTCCTACCTTGATGCATTTAATGGGGCAGCTATTCCTCTGAAGTGCTTGCATTCTAATAAAACGCCCTTAAAAGGTGAAGTTAATCCTCGTTTGTTAATATAAATATGAAGTCGAACACCATAAAATGACGCGGTTGTATCGCCTGCAAAAATTGTTTTGATGGCGAGGCGTTCGAAAATGTTATGTGTGTCAGAATTTTGGTATTAAAACACTATATGAAGTATAACTTGAATTCGCGCAAAAATGCACTTAGTCTTATTCAGTTGAACTACGATCCCAGTCACATGCCACAATTTGAGCGCTGTGAAATTGTGCTTTTTTTCAAGGATCCTTTTTTTTAATTTCTCTGTCTGTGTTCTCACCTAGAAGGAAGCTTCCAACGATGCGTTCACTAGTCAGCCTCTTGGTAAATTTCTATATGGTATTTGCTGAAGTTGTAACCTTGGTGTGGTATATCTGCAATATGTCTGCGACCGGACGAGAAAGACTCTCAACTGAAACGTTGGGCTCGTGCTTGCTGATTAGGCATTTGATGTACCACGGCGCCGGCCATAAAGTCGTTCTTCGAGCATGCTGTGAGGAGAACGACGTCCAAATGTCTAAAAGGCGGCCTTTAAGAGAGCGATGAAGTGACTCTACACGAGCATCTCAATCGCTGTGCTTGTATATTTGTTGATTTTCCCTCAAGAGAGTCAGCTGGATAGGAGTCCAACATATCCACTCCCTTCATTTTGTGTCAACATACTCAATCCTTGTAGATTACAACACAAAATAGCGGAATGCTTAAAATGATCAGACAAATAAGAAAACATCGTGACGATATGAACTGGACAGAACTATATGCGCCCTCTGCGCGCACAAAGCGCATGTCACAAAGTGAGACTTTTTTTTTTACTTTTATAGGAGAGCAAGAAAAGTTCGAAATTATAATTTTTTTTAATCATGACAGGAATTTCCTACCACGTCGCGGCTAGGACGATTAGTTGCTTCTACGTACTAACCATCTCTAATCCTATGATTTCTTGATGTTAACAAATTCTAGAAAATTATTCTGAATATACCAAAATTTATCGATTCAGCTACATTTGTATTTAATAAAGTATTCTCTATATAATATATTATATAGCCATTGTCTAAAACAAATATTTATATATTGTTACACGTATGCAAGGATAATAATGAATGCAAATTTGGGTCATGCTCACGTTGCAATAACGGCCTTCATGGAGACAATACTTGCCGCTAAGAGTGCAGTAGATAAAGTGCCGCTATATTGTAGTGCACGAATAAACGTTGGATAATATATTGTTGAGCGTGTGGCATTCCTTAATTAAGGGACTTGGCATCTCGTGTTGAAAAAAAAAAATGAACAGCCCACTTGGGCCAACTGGAGACGCCTCCGGACACCGCAAGATAGAGGTCGTACCTCGGACGAATTTTGATATATTATGTGGGGCGGCTATTGCCGACTGTCAAAGCTGGCCCATGAACAATTCATCACTAAACTACTACAAATAAATTTAGAGAAATGTAGCCTAGAGTGACGGATCTCTGGAGGAGAAGTTACTGCTTACTCTTACCCTGTTGCCTACGGTTTTTTAATCCTTCACAAAAGAAATATGTGACATATATCTGAACTTTCTCAAGCTATTGTGATTGATATTGTTAAGAAAAAGAAGGAACCTTTTCGTGGGAAGACAAGAGAAGAAGAAGAGGCAACGAGCTTTAAATGATTGTAACCGCCATTTTGAGTCTTCACCTAATGTAAATTAAATCATTGTATATATCTTGTATATATCTATATTCGTCGTAACATTTTGGTGGAGGTGCGGGGTAAGCGTCCTTTTTTGTGATTTTGTTCAAGCGACGGTAGTCGACGCAGAACCTCCATGATCCATCTTTTTTCTTAATCAATACAACGGGCGATGACCAGGGGCTAGAGGAAGGTCGAACAATGTCCTTCGAAAGCATGGTGTCAACTTCTTGTTGAATGACTCGACGTTCGCTGGCTGACACTCGGTAAGGTCTGTGGTGAACGGGAGTTGCGTGGCCGGTGTTGATGCGGTGTGTAGCAAGGGTCGTTTGTCCAAGGGGGCGGTTGTCAAAATCAAAGATGTCATGGAACTCCCATAGAAGAGCTTGAAGGCGCTGTTGTTCGGAAGGGTCCAACGTGGAGTCTACCATGGTGAGTATGTTGAAAGGGTCTAGGGGAGCTGGGCGGGTTGAATTAGAAGGGCGTGAAAGATCTGCTGCAATAGTGGAGACTGTGACCGTGTCTAGCGATGAGCTTGTTGCTAAGGAAGCACCTTTTGGCAATACTTGTGTACTGGAACTAAAGTTAGCTATCCATACGCGGGTGCGGCCATTGGCAATTGGAACAATGCCTATGGCCGAGTACGATTTCACCATAACCTATAAATCAGGGAAGCTCCATCAAGACGCCGACTGCCTATCCCGTTACCCCGTGGACTCTACTAGCCACTTCAATGAAGACTCCGATATTCCCGTTCTTCCTATCTCAAACCTTCTGGACATTGCCCAGGAACAGAACCTGGATCCACTGCTGCACTCTATCCTTTCAGATCTGAGAGGTAACACCAACACACCTTCTTCAAGTCTCTACTCTCTCCAAAACGGCGTTCTCTATCGACAAAATTTTCGATCCGACGGTTGTTCTTGGCTTCTGGTCATACCCAAGCACTTACAAGCGTCCATTCTCGCCGAGCTGCATGACGCACCATCATCCGGTCACCTGGGTGTGGTCAGAACCTACACCCGAGCGAAGCAACAATTTTACTGGACAAATATGTACAGAACAGTGAAGCGATACGTCACCTCGTGTGACTCCTGCCAGCGCCGAAAAACACCCGCCTCCCGTCCTCCAGGATTTCTACAACCTCTCAATCCTCCTGAACAGCCCTTTCACCGCGTAGGAGTTGACCTTCTTGGTCCCTTCCCCACTTCCTCAATTGGTAATCGCTGGATAGCGATCGCGATCGATCACACCACACGCTACGCAATCACAAGGCCCCTCCTGACCGGAACGGCAGTTGACGTCGCCCAATTCCTGCTCGAAGACATCATCCTCAAGCACGGTGCACCTCGTGAACTTTTGTCTGACCGTGGACGGCCCTTCATATCTCGCGTCGTAAGTGAAATCTTGAACCTCTGCTCCATTCTTCACAAAAAAACGACAGCCTACCGTCCACAGACGAACGGCCTCGTAGAACGCCTTAATCGGACCCTTGCCGACATGCTCGCATTGTACGTTACCCACGAGCTCAAAAATTGGGACGTTGCACTCCCTTACGTAACTTTCGCATATAATTCCTCTCCTCATAACACAACCGGCTACTCTCCCTTCTATCTTCTTTTCGGTCATGAACCCCTCCTCATGTTGGACTCACTGCTTCCGCTACGCCCCGAAGCCTCACTTTCCGACTATGCATCGGACGCCATAGGCCGTGCTGAAGAGGCACGACAACTTGCACGCCTGCGAACTCTTGATTCTCAGGAACGGCAATGCGCCCGTTATGACGGCACCCACACTTTCGTCGCCTATTCACCAGGTGACCTGGTTCCGATCTGGACCCCAGAGCGACAAGTCGGCCTTGCTCAGAAGCTACTACCTCGATATCGCGGTCCTTGCAGGATCCTCAACCGAACAAGTGATGTCAATTATACAGTCGAACCCGTCGAACCTCCCCAAAATAACCGCCATCGTCAAGTACAAACAGTTCACGTCCTCCGGCTCAAACCAAACATCCCCCATTCAAACGGCGCGACGCCGTTTCCACCCGAGGGGGAGTGATGTTAAGAAGAAAAAGAAGGGAGGTTTTCGTGGAAAGACAAGAGAAGAAGAAGAGGCAGAGGCAACGAGCTTTGAATGATTGTAACCGCCATTTTGAGTCTTCACCGAATGTAAATTAAATCATTGTATATATCTATATTCGTCGTAACAATATCAATATCACTGGAGGACATCTGAAAAAATTCTTGGAGGCCGAGAACTCAAAACCAAGCTCATACACCTATGGGGAAGATAATATTTATTTATCCTTTCAACCTCTACATTTGAACCTTCGTTGTAGGAATGTTCTAGCTCAAATGGGTCAGATAGGGCAACAAGAAATGTAATTTTGGTGAACAAAAATATACACAGATGAACTTATACTTAACCTCAAAGAGTAAAATCACTGAGGTATTGTAGTTACATCATCGATTAAACGGAAATTATGGTACGTAAGGAAATGAAATAAATGCGGCAATCTTAGCCTCGCTTAAAAACAGATCTGGGATTGATACAATGTAGGCGGAAAAGTTGGCAGTCAAATGCTGTAGATATGTGAGAGGAGGACGGAATACGTTGGTGTAGGGATGTGAAATAACGTATTTGTGCTTGTAGTAGACTCTCGGTAAAAGAAAAAGAGTGGTGTGTTAAGCCTACCGCGATGCGTGCCGTTGGTGTACTGAGTTTCGTAATCTATGCTTGGCATTTTTTACGTGTCGATAACTCAGAGATAAAAAAGTCATATACTGCATCCGGAAGCCGCTACATTGGCTGCTAGAATGTTGTGAGAAAACATGCGTCTACGACATTACTTCGTACAGGTTCAGCTGAATCTTGCTTCACTTGCAAGCTTGACTTCTAGTTTCACTCTAGCTTGACCTGTACAAGGATTTTGTAAAGAATTAGTTAAAAAAATAGAGAGGTAATTAAAAGTTTTATAATGATGAAGCCTACCGTGCCTTTTAAATGTCAGTATTGCTGGCAAAATCAATCTTCCATGTGGGGAAAGATGCTAGGCGAACGTTTATGACCTTGCGAAGAGACACTTCCTGAGGAGGACGATTTAAACGCGCATAATGAGGCCTAAGTGACGCACACCACACCCAGGCAGCTGCAAAGTAGAGTGAGAGAGAGGGGGTAGACTCCTTTTTGGCACAAAAACACAATTGCGACCAGAAACTTGGACAAAAGACAGATCATTTTCAGCTTGACGCGTCCCAACTCATATGAGACTTGCTCCAAGCAGTACAGCAACATCATGTACAAAGTGTCTGAGGTAGCGGCCTAGCTCTTTAAATCAACCGCAAAAATCAATTTCTTAACATATCGCGCTACGGTTTCGTGTAACGTTGCCCACAGATAGTGCGTTCGTACTATAAAATTTACAAAGAGCGAACTTGTCAGAGAAAAAGTAAAAAAAAAAAGAAGAAAAGTCTTAACTCTATGCAAATGAAGCGAAGCCGGCGGTATTCAGACCATAGGCCGCCGTTTGGCACGGGAGACAAAAGATGGTCCAAGCTGTCGTGACGCCAACTGCCGCCCACGAATGAGCATACGGCGCCGAGAGCCGGCGCCATTAGCAGATGATATTTAGAAACAAAAGCGGCGCGCGTTCCGCAGGCGGCAACAGACGCAGAACCAAAAACATTCGCGGTAACAACAAGGAACTGCAAAGCAGACGGCACAAGTACCCCAAAAATAAAACAATCAAAATAACCCCACAAACTATTTTTTTTAATTGATTAGGTGCCCATTTATAGTGTTTTATTACACATTAAAAAAAGAACGAGACTACGGACGAAATTGAGACTTTTTTTGTGTTGTCCACTTTTTCGTCGGTCGTCTCCGGTTTCTCGAAATTGTGTAACATCAACCAGCTCGTCTGCCTGCGCACTCTTTCTTCGATGTTTTATTAGTAAGGATGATAAAATTATGCATCGACAACTGACATCGGGAAAGCTCGATCCGCTTTCGAGTCGAAAATATCGTCTGCTATTTGACGCCGGCTCTCGGCGCCGTAGGCTCGTGCGTTGGCGGCAGTTGGCGTCGCAACCGCTTTCTCCTTCTCTCTTTCGTGCCAAAGGCGCCCTATTGTTTAAAGACCAGTGTCTTCACTGAGTTTCCATAGGATTAGAGACTTTTTTTTTTTTTACTTCTTCCCTAGGTAAGTTCGCTCTTTGCAACTTTTATAAAGACAATGCACCACCTGTGTGCAATGCTGCACAAAATTGTAGCGCGATACGTTAAGAAACCGATTTTTGCGGTCAATTTAAAGAGCCTGGCCGTTATTTGAAGCACCATGTATGCATATAAATAAACATAATGTATGCGCACGGTCACACAAACAGAGATGTGCATCATTTTTGCTACGCAGGAAATATAGCAGGGTGACTAACGTCATGCATTTGAAAAAATCCGCCGGAAAAACGAATGCTCACGCATTTCCATCGGATGTT